GGCTCTGAATCTGCCTCCCAAGGCCATGATGCCTCACACACCCGCTGAAAGCGTATGGACCTAATCGCAGCAACTCCAGCCCAGGTTCTAGAACAGGAAACGTCTCTAAGAGCCAGCTTTCCTGACTCAATCACCTCTATACTCACATCACCGAATCTGCCTTTTTCCTGAAGTGCTCCATCACCTGAGGGGGAATAGTCTATGCTTGGCTTTACTATTTTCCATTTTCATGAATTTTCATGAACTTTGTCAGACATTTGAAAGATCTTCATGGCCCCCAGGGATTTTCATCTAGTGAGATGGCTGTGGACTTCCCCTCTCTCCTCCCCATTTTGCACTAGGCTCCTTCTTTGCATCAGGTGTTAGGGACAGACTTTTTTTTTTTGGAGACAGAGTCTCACTCTGTTGCCCAGGCTAGAGTGCAGTGGCACAATCTAGGCTAACTGCAACCTCTGCCTCCCAGGTTCAAGAGATTCTTCTGCCTCAGGCTCCTGAGTAGCTGGGAATACAGGCAAGCACCACCATGCCTGGCTAAATTTTTATACTTTTAGTAGAGACAGGGTTTCACCATGTTGGCCAGGCTGGTCTCAAAATCCTGACCTCGTGATCCCCCGACCTCGGCCTCCCAAAGTGCTGGGATTACAAGTGTGAGCCACCGCGCCTGGCCTACTTTTTTTTTTTTTTTTTGAGACAGAGTCTCACTCTGTCGTCCAGGCTGGAGTGCAGTGGCACATTCTTGGCTCACTGCAACCTCTGCCTCCAGGGTTCAGGTGATTCTCTCCTGCTTCAACTTCCCAAGTAGCTGGAACTACAGGTGAGCACCACCACAAATGCTAATTTTTTGTATTTTTTGGTAAAGCCGGGGTTTCACTGTGTTAGCTAGGCTGGTCTAGAACTCCTGGCCTCAAGTGATCCGCTTGCCATGACCTCCCAAAGTGCTGGAATTACAAGCATGAGCCACTGCACCCTGCCCTTAAAAAAAAAAAAATACACTGTGTATGTGTGTTCCTGGCATTCTTTTGTGCAAACACATGTCTTGTTTGATCTTGGAGTTTTGAAAATAGATGACTCAAAGCACCATTGTTTCAGTGACATTTATCAAATTGCTTTTGTTTTTAGGAATCTGGCACACCAAGTACTCAATATCACCACACGGCATATGGGTGTTTTCAGTAAATCTGAGAAGGTGACAATTCATACTGTCCAAGGTGGCTGAGGTGATTTGTTGAGCTCAGACTATGGCACGTTTAGCAAGCAGGACAGGCTGTCAAGCAAGTTAGCAGAAGTACCCAGAGAGGCAATGCTCAAATTATCTGTGTTTCAGACTGCTGCCCCCAAGCCCTTCTGTGGGACAATGCTTTGTTACATGCTTGGTTATTTCTTATTCTTTGACTTAGCTGCTGTAGGGCAGGGATGCTTTGCTTTCTGGGGTACTGTGCTTTCCTTGGCTTCATTTTACCTTGTCCCTTGGGCTTCTGTCCTCCTTGTCCCTGAAACTATAGAGGCTCGCAAAAGGATTCCCAATGGCCCCACTCCTTCATGAAGAGATATTAGAGTAGTGTTACTATGTAGAAAGAAGGACATTTTGGGAAAGGAGAGGATATTGAGATAAGAGCCCTACTTTTCCTACCCTTACCCAGTTACTAATGATCCATCTAGGCAATAGTTCATTTTGTATTGGCTAAACCTGTACTATATGATTTATCACTAATTGCATAATAGCATGGGATTAATCTATGTAAGAACGACTCTATAAAAAAGAGTATATTTTGCCAGGTGCAGTGGCTCATGCCTGTAATCCCAATACTTGGGGAGGCCGAGGCAGGTGGCTCACTTGAGGTCAGGAGTTTGAGACCAGCCTGGCCAACATGGTGAAACTCCCTCTCTACTAAAAATACAAAAAAAATTAGCTGGGTATGGTGGCAGGCGCCTGTAGTCCCAGCTACTCGGGAGGTGCTGAGGCAAGATAATTGTTTGAACCTGGGAGGCAGAGGTTGCAGTGAATTGCGATTGTGCCACTGCACTCCAGCCTGGGCAACAGAACGAGACTGTCTAAAAAAGAAAGAATATATTTCATGACTCCAAGTGGCCTTCCATCTTCTGTTATTCTTGGGCCTTATGTATAGCATATGTTAAATACTTAGATGACTGTTTGGGGTGCTTTATAATATTACTATTACCATGTACACTAAAATGTAATCATTTTGTGTTTTCAGACTTAGAGTTCTCAGACAATGGGGATTTGTTAGACAGATAGAGAAAGAGAGACTAAACTGACACTTCTAAGGTGGCTTTGCTAGGGGCCTAGAGAAGACATGTCTCTGCTGGGGATTCTATTTTCATGGCCACATCCAAAGTGTTGATGTGTTTTCTGCAGCACCTGGATCTAGGCTAACAATAAGATGGAGCCTGACACGATAAAGAGGCGTTTAGCAAGTTTCAAGACTACATGCACAGTTACCTTAATACTGGGAAGCAGAGCATCTCCCCAGGGAGCATTTTATGGTGCATCTTGGGGCATTTTGCCTATCCTGTATCTCACTGAGAGGAGGCCTTCCAGCTGAACACGTGGACCCAAGCGCATATCCATTCGACAGAATCTTCAGGGCCAGGGAGCCGTGGAGGTCATTTCCCTCCTGGATTTCTTCCCCCTCTTACTCTATCAGAGAGATGCTGATATTTGAGTTTTCATCTTCAGAGGGCAGCAAGATTCCTGCCCTCCTCCTGTCACTGGCTTGTTTGCTTAAATAAGGAACACATTAGTCCCCATCACCGACTGCAAGTGGAGGCAGCTGGAGCAAGTTAGTATCAGCTATGTTGGACATCTGGATGCAGTGACAACATTGCCATTGCAGGGGTCTTAGATTTCGAGTTCCTTACAGAATGATGTAGAGGCCATTTGCAAGGACTTCTTTCCTATCCTTTTCTGCAACAGTGGCTTTGGGTGGCCTAGGCCTGTATAGCCAGCTCTGACAGATGCTCAGCATTCACAGATACACACACAGGGAGCCAAATGGGCAGGGATTAGTCTTAAATCAGCTGTTTATGAATGGAGAAGAGGCCCTTCTCCTGGGTTCTGGCCACACCCCTTCTCTTTGCAGCTTTTTGAGAATGAGGTCAGGGCCAGGATCTAACTGCTTATGCCTCAGAAATAGCAGCACAGATCAAAATTAATCTTAAGCTCTTTGTTTTGCTGCCTTCTTTAGATAATAGAGGAAAAATCGGAGGCCTGCTCATGTTTTTGTTTGCTTGTTTTTGTGTGTACCTTTGAAAGGAACATATGAATGAATGTGTGTGAAGGGAGGGGCTGAGGTGAGGCAGCTAAGAGGGATTAGTGCTGGGCAGATGATAATTACTGATAGACTGCAGCATTCAATTGGAGCATGTTTTAGTTTTTTTTAAAAAATGGCCGAATGAAATAAACCTCAGTGGTGTATTGTTTTAGCACCTCCCCTTTATATGGAGATTTTATCAGTTGCTATGAAACTGCATATTCCTTTTACAGTGTCCATTTGTTTTTAATGGTCATTTTCTGGACTGTGCAAGCTATCATTCTGCCCCAGGAGCTCCATGGAGTTATGCAATGCTTTAAATGAGTATCTCATGCAGACTTCATTTTCTGTCAGCCACTCTGGCACACATACAAAATACAGGTGTATGTGTGTGTACGTGTGTGTGTGTGTAAGAGAGATAGATTCTGTCTCTCATACACAGGCACAAACACACACACACAGCTTGATCATACTTAGTCTTTACATAAATTGGGATTCCTCTCTACCCACCAGCCAAGGCCTGAGAGATGTCAATAGGTGGACACTGAGGAGACTGACTTCCAATGCCCTTCAACCTGCAGTCTCTTCAGAGTATTAGCATACCTGAAAGGTTGACCTAGCAGCCAGGCATTGTGTGTAATGGTGGTGCTTACTTTTTGTTCTCAGGCTTAATTGTTGGCTGAAAGCATCTTCTTTATTTCTCACTATCCTTTATTTGCATTAATAGTCTCCTCTGTGAAAGATTAAAGAAAGTAGGATGTGTAGTGAGGACAGAAGTGTCGGTGTCAGCCTAATCTGCTACATATTCATTCGATGGACCTTAGCATGACAGGTATCCACTGAAGGATATGCCAAAACTGTCTTCCATCCATGGACATTAATTTTGAGTGAAAAGTGTAAAGTAGGACAAGAATTGTCACATAACTGGCCTAATGGATGGCCTAATTGACTTCCTGAAACCTAAACTGTTTTCCTAAGTATTTCAGAAGTGTTATAATCATATAGATCATACATGCAGTGAATATATCTTTATGTATGTACACACATGCACACGTGGACATTTGTACGAGCAAATTTGTGCTCTTCAAATTGGTATCTCTTGTGTAGAGACAGAAAGTAGATTAAAGTGGTCTGGGGCTTGGCAATGGGAAAGGGGATTGATTTAACAGGCCTGAGGGATCTTCCTGGGATGATGAAAATGTTCTGAAACTGGATTACAGTGATGGTTGTATAACTTAGTAGATTTACTAAAGTCATTGATGAATTGTACTTTTTAAATGGGTGAATATTGTGGTATGTAAATTATGCCTCAATGAAGCTGTTAAAGTTGACATTCCTCTATTGGAGTTCCTGCAGATCGTAGACTACATATAATATGAAAAATTGTGTCACCTTAAATTTTTACCTGCTCTTTTCCCACTGAAGTTTATCAACTTCAATTGCAGAGAAGCTGAACTTTGAGATAACAGGGCCAGATAAAAACCCAGTGCCCTGAGATATAAAAGGCTACCCTGACCCCTATTGGCAAGGAGCGAGGTTGCTGCCCATTGCCATATGAGGAACCAACCGTGAGACAGTAATGGGGGGCTGAGGATGGGGGTGAGATTTCCAAGCAGGTCCCCGAGAGCAATGGGCACCATATTTCAAAGCTGCTTCTGCATGTGTCAAAAAACCCAAACATCCTGAGGTCCAACTCTTAAGTGATGGCATTTTCCTCTTCTTTTGCAGGTTGTCTTAGTCTTTGCTCTCAGCATCGGTGCACTTGTAATATACTTCATAGATTCGTCAAAGTGAGTATTCAAATATACTTTCTTGCCCTTGTTTCATAAACAATCATAAGCCTTTATGTTGATCCATTTATTTACCTTAACACCAACCTTTGCCAGACCTTCTAAGTGCAGAAGATTTTGGAGGAAGCTAGGGCTGCACTGTACTGATTTTCTAAATGGGAAAGAAAGTTCTGAGAAGGAAGGCTACTTTAAGTCTGCTGGCATAGAAGGGTGAGGTATCTGAGGTCGAGTCTTCTTGCTGGGTATTACTTATTTTTAAAGAGCTGTTTCTTGATGATGTATTTGCACTGAAGATGTCAAGTGGGTAAGATGACTTGATGGGAATTTGCAACTTCTGGGAGGGTGACAGTTTCCCACAGATGAGCGTCTGAGCCATTCTTGCCATGGTTGTAGGATCCTTTTCTCAATTGGGTTTCCAATGCTTTGATCTTACTGGAGGTCAGCTTAGAAAGCATGGTGCTATCCTTTCGCCTGCCAACCGGGTATTCAGCTGAAGCATTGCACGCTGGTGCTTCTTGACTTGTGAAGGTAAGGAGATGGATGGAGGAGTTCATGATGACCCCCAGAGGTGGAGGCCCGTGGCCATTTGAGGACTTCTAGAGTGGACACTCGTGCAGACTCCTTGGGTGCCAGCTGAATGGACTGGTGCTCCAGGGTGAGCCTGGGTGACAGATGATAAAGACCTTGCAGAAGGATGAAGAGGGCACAGACTAGAACTGCAACGTTGCAGCCAGTTCTGCCCTGATTCCTGCAGGTGCCAATCCTGAGGAAATAATTTGTTCCAACTATACTATTGCAATCATGAAGTTGACAGCATCAGGGAAACGAGCTGGAGTCTAACTCATTTTCTGTTGTGGCATGAACTTGGCCACTCTGGTGATAGTGGCCTTGAGTTTGTTGCCCTTATTGTCCACTGTGTGAGTGTTTTGAACTTTAACTCTATCTATGGTATGGTTGGCTACTAGACTTTGATACTAGGAAACCTCCCTGGTGTGCCTGTTGGCTCAGACTCTGATGTGCCTGAATTCTGAGCTTAGTGCTCCTTTCCTGTGGCTTGGGATGGTGGTAATTTCATGCACAGCTAAACTCAGAATTTCTCAGAGCCATCTGGTCGCCGGCCAAGGATTTTGTGCATTTGGGTGCAGAGGTCAAAATGTCAGTCAGGGAAAATAAAGAAAATATCTCCTTTAATAACCTGTCTCTGGGAATCAGCCAAGTCTAAGCCTATCAGAGGGCCTTCAGCCCATCCCCACGTGCGAGGCTGGGCTGCCCTCAACCATCTCAGATGGAGAGTCCTTTAAACGCTGTTGGGAGACAAGATTCCACATGCTCCCTCCATCAACTGTCCCAAGCCAAGAAAGAGAAGAGCTTGTTTAAGTTTGGAAGACTCCCATTGGCATGTCATTGAAGGTAAGCCCCCTTTTTAATATTTACTCTTAATGATTCTGGACCCTATTTGTTTTGAACTGAACATCCTCTAAAGCCCCTGGTCTTATTTCTTCAATCTCTCTCCAGGGGCGTTCTCACATGTCGTGGGGTGTAGACCCTGTCAACTTCCATGCTGAGACTCAGGAAAGAGGTTTGGGCTTGTAGCTTGTGTGCCCCAGAGAGAGAAAACCCTAATGTGGAGGTGAGTGTGTTGATGGGTTAGAGGCCCAGATGCCTCAGCCAGCGCCTTCCTTCCCTTTTCGTTTTTTAATTTTTTTAACCTTTTGTCCCTCTGTATTTCTCAGAAATAAAATGCTCTTTAGATGGATTTGGATTGTGTCTTTTTTTACAGTCTACTGTGAGGCAGTCTTTTGTTCTGTGGATCCTGGTGTTCTCCATTTCCGTGTGAGAAGATGAAAAGGAATGAAATTCCCCAATGCATACCCTCTTCCCCTAACGTCCTACACCATCTCAATGTCCTTTGGCTTTAATTATGATCCTTCTAGGCCTTGGGGAAGACAGCACTGGGAGTCCTCTCTGATTCCGGTTTCTTTTATGAACTTGCAAATAGTCTGTCCCAAGGATGGAACTTCAGTCCTGTCCTCACCTTTTCCTGACAAAAATGCCGATAAGGTTAGAAACAAGGCTATTCCCATTCTGCCTGAGGACTGTCCTAGCCTCATCCCAGCATCTCTGTTGCTAAACTATGTGGTTTGGCATAGCAAGGCTTTGTTTATAAGAAGACTTTCTGGTTATTTATATAGAAACTTTTCATTTTCATGACTTCATTTGGTTCTGAGACCATATTTGAAGATTCTGTCCGGTGGCAGGCCCAATCAGTGGATTCAGCACAAGGGAGTTTTCCATCTTCCTTGGGAAAGACAGCAAGCAAGCTCAGTTTAAGTTTGGGGGAGAATTACTGTAGAATCTCTAAAGCCATCTCTATGATAAGTCCATAGATTTCCAAGAATAAAACACAGTGAAACCTATTAAAAAACTATAATCGAGCTTAGTGAATGAGAAAAAAAATGAAATTCTATCCACATATAGGATGCAAATGGAAAGAAAGTGAGAAAGTAGAATGTACATTCTTAAAATCCATGCCTTTCATTCAAAACTGTTACCAGTTTTACACATTCGTGGTTTGGCTGGCCATCTGGATATTTTGGAAAGACAGCTTTAAACTTCTCGTGGAAGTTATATTAAATCTTCACCCTGGAAAAAAAAGCACCCAGAATTCTCCAGATGAATTGTAGTTAGTATTTACACCCTTCAGATAAATAAACTAGGGGATGGTCTATAGGCTTTCCCACAAGTGAATCTAAACCAACAGACATGAGTGAAATGGCTTGTCTCAGTGAATTTTAGCCAGAGCTGCCCCTCTCCTACAGAATGCTGAGGACTGTCCTGCAGCACAAGTTTGAGATTCCAGGCTCTCTAAGATTCCAGGCTCTCTGCACCCAGCCCTTTGAAAAGTGCGAGGAATGCCGATTAATGTATAAAACAGGCTCCCGTGGTCTGCTGGACCAGCTATGTCTCAAGGCAGGTCAGCTCCAGTTGTGCAAGTGGACAAGCAGGCTAGGTGGTTATTTTACTTCTGTGCATTAGCAGATGAGTAATACAGCTCAGAGAAATGTCATCATTGGTGGGTTTATGATCTTTTTAACCTTTCAAAGCTCTTTTTACCATCCAGAGGTGATGGATAAGTCACTTCCAAAGACAGCTGCACAACTTTCATTTTTGGCCATTAGGCAAAGACAGATCCCAGCATAGGGCGTTTTCTTTGGGTCTGGTCTTAATGATCCTAGAGTGATTGTGAGGGAAGACTCATTTGTGTAGCCTCAAGTGATTACTATCTAGCTAAGACAGATTGTCCTCAGAGCTCCTGGAATTAAAAACAAAGATAATTACATTAAACCTTATTAAAATTGTGCTTTATAATCCCAGCAGTAGACTCTCTAGAAACACCCAAGCAGACGAAGATGTCTCTGGACCAAGTCTTTGGTCAGACATCACGTTAGTGCCTTAACAAGCACAGACAAGCATTGAGCCCTCCACACACCATCTCCGCAAAGCTCCAATTAGCCATACAAGGTGGATTGTGTACAAAAAGCTCCCTTTCTTTTTCATTCTTTTTAAAAGGACTCCTGCCCAATTTATGTCACATGTCACTTTAGCTCCTAATTCTGATGTCTCCTGCCACCTACGCCGACCCTGTCCTCCCACACATTCTGATCCTTGTGAAGCAAAGATTTTTTAGAAATTGTACAACCAAGTCAAGAGTGCCTGCAGACACCCTGTGGGTGCTAATGTCACCGTTGCTGCTTCCGTCCTTGTCTATTTCCTCCCTTTGACACAAGAACAGCAATTCTTATCTAACAGATAAGGAAAAAAAAACAAAGACCCACCAGTGTCAGCATGAGAGCGAGATTCATGGATTGCATAATGCAGCAGTCTCTGTTGCTTTCAGAATTTCAAAAGAAAGTTGGAAGAGACAGAGGCCCAGAGCTCTGGGTATTTGCATTTTTACCAGGGGCATTCTGGGAAAGGATGACTCACATGTGTGAAGATATTTATTCCTTTGATTCATGTTTAAACGCTGCTACTTCTTATGCTACGGTTACGTGGATTATGAATATTTAATGCTGCGTATACTGAAAATGAAGGTCAAGTCCTGCTCACTGGTGACTTCAATGCAGGCTCTTGTCTCTGAAAGGGAAGCTACCTGCTGTTCGCGGAGTAAAGCTGAAAGGTTATACGTTGTGAAATTTTTCCTTAATGACTTTATCTCTCCAAAATGGCCGGCACACAATGGGGGCACTTGCTGATTTTGCCAGTCTTTGCTCTTGGCTTCTGGTATCAGCACTGCTGTTTTGGGGATATGGACGTTAGGAAGGAGGAGGGAACAGCAGCACAAATTTTGTAGAGCATCTCACCCAAGGGCCCAATTGCCAAGGCAACAGTGGGGTTACATTTGGAAAATGGCCTCTCCCCAGTCTTTTAAAATTTTACTTTTGCATCTACTCACCCATTTATTCATTTTGTCTTCATTTATTAGTTTGAAACACCTTCAAATGTGACAATGCTGTGTATTTTCCAGGCAGTAAAATTGCTTATGGTTAAGGAAAAGTATCTTTAAGATTGTGATAGAAATTGACCAGATTGTTTTCATAGTCTCTGAAAATAAAACTGGCACCGTTGATGTATTGGGGATGCCCAGAGCTTTAGCAGAACTGGTTAGTCGCCCAGTAGTTTCTCTCACTCCAGTCTTCACATAGCCTGGCCTCTCATCTCTTGGCCTAGAAATTCTCTTTCAAAAGGGAAGCGAGGGCAAGTCGTTGGAGGGAACTAACGTTCACTGATTATGTGCTGTCTGTGAGCTACAGAGCGAGGCACTTTACCAAAAATAGCACATACAACCTCATTGAATTCCCCTAACAACTTCTTAGGGTAGGTATTACTATTCCCACTTTACAGATGAGGAGGCTGAAGCTGCAGACATAGCCCAAGCCATGTAGCTAGTAAGCAGTAGAACCAGGATTAGATTCCAGCATGGCTCATTCTAAAGCCATCTCTCTTCTAAGTGTCAAGAAGTAAATTTCCAGATTGTGGAAGTAACTGACGGGGTTTAATGAGATGTTGCAAGAAAGGGAAGTTGCCTCACCTCATCCTGCCAATGCATTGGTCTTGTTTTCTCTTTTGTTCTCCCTTTCTCCATTTCTCACCCTGAGAACCAAGTGTGCAGTTGTGGGTACGTAGGAGGCTTCTATCACAGGTCTTCCACGTAAGACACTGCCCTGGATCAGGTGCTGTCTGATGTCTGTTTGGGCCTTGATTCAGTCCTTCCTAATAATGGCTTAATGGGACCAACTTCTCTGTTATCTCAGTGGAGTGGCAGCATTTTGCAATGGAAGAGGATCAAATGAACAAAGAACAAGGAGAGTTGATTGTTCCTCATGAGTTTCTACCACCTAGGGGTGTCTTTCCAAGTAGAAAGACTCTTTGGCCTTCCTAGCCTTACCTAGTCTGTCCCTGTGATTTGGCATAGTGAAATAGATATGAGAAATGCTGTTTCCCCATGAGATACATTTTTGTCTCTTTTAAAGAGTTACAGAATTAGTTGATTGGTTATAGTTTTGCATTATGTTGTGCAATATCTATATGCCTAGAGAGTTGGCATTATCAAACTAATGGACTTCAGGAAAATTTGGCCCCAAAGAATAGAAGCCACATAGGATGGAGGTCTTTGAAATGACATAAAGTATCTGGCTTCCTTCTCCAGCCTTGTTCAAACTGACTAGGCACAGGTGCAGACCCACTGCCTCTTCTGTGCTCAGCCTCAAGACAGGCGCCTGCAAGCGCTGTGAGGCCAGCACAGATCCCATCCCATTCATGACAGTGCATTTTAAACTGTAAAGGACTATGCATTCCAGCTTTCACTATCCCCTTTAGTGCACCCCATCCTGTAGCGTGACCAGGTGGGCAGCCCATGACATAGAGAAAGAAGCTCACCAGCTTACTCTGTAACCAGTTCCTTTATGGAGCACAGCCTTTCTAGGTAGTGTTCTGGAAAATTAGATCCAGCTCTCTGCCTTCATGCCCTTTTTGAGAAGTCACGGCATACATTTAACCTTTGTTGAAGAAGTCAACACAAATCACTGTGTGTGCAAAGCGTCTCCCTGTTTTTTTTCCCTTTTAAAATACTCCCCCCAATTTTCTCCATCCCTCACTGACATTTTTATTGCTAGGCTTTGGTTTGGAAAATTATGGGTAGGGAAAGTTCAAGGGCAGGATGTTCAGAACGGCACTGCACATCTGTGAAGGGAACACAACAGGAGAGCCAGCAGCTGTTGAAAGAATGGAATGTCAGATGGTGGAGGAGCCGAGCCCACTGAGGGATGGTGGAAGACAAGACGCCTTCAGGGCAAAGAGGCTGTAAATAACTCCAGTGGGAAGTCCTTGTCCCCCTTCAGAATTTAGCCTTTAATAGCAACACTTGGTGCTCTGATACGAGAGTAACTCTAACTCAGTCTTCCTAGCTCATCTAACCTTCCACATTGCCATTTGTTCATGAACCGAGTGAAAGCCTGGTAGAGAAGACAGGTAGAGAGTATGCCAAGGAACACAGTCAACTTCTATATATGTCCTTGTCTCCATATGGGCAGATTCGGGGGACAGGATCTGTTCTTTGGTTGTCAAACAGATTGGTTTTATTTACGTCAAAGTTGAAAGCATTAGCGCCCTTTCTCCTTCTCCCTTCCACATTGGTGAGGAAATCTTGTCTTCCTTGCTTATTGCTCATTGCACAAGTAGAACCTAGGCATCGTAGGCAATGGCATCTAGAAGCATTAAGGGAACTGCTTATCTTTGACATTTCACTGGGCAAATCAGGGACTATGCTAGGAAAGGGTGGGAGGACTGAGCTGAACCTTTCAGGTCTGCCACAAAAGACAACTGTAGAATATAGTATTAGAGTGAAAGAGGCATTGGATCCCAAATGGTGCCACCATTCCCTGTGCCTCAGCATCCCTTCCTGAGGAATGAGGGTGAGGGACCTCCTCAAGGTCATCTGACCAGCCAGGGACAGAGCTGGAGCTGGAAGACAGAGTTCTTCTCTGTCCTTTTCTACTTGATCTCCTGGGTTATTTCTACTAAATACAAAAATGAACAAAGACATGATAACCTACTCATTGAATAGCAAAGCATATATTGTCTTTTTATGCGAATTCTGGACCTCCAGGCCCTTGTCATGGGGGAAACTTCAGGGCCATGGGAAAGAACAAAGATAATCCCAGGTGGAAAAGATAAAATCCAGTCAGGTGGCTGCATGGGATTAGTTTATTTCATCCTCATTGGTAAGAGGCCTTGAATTCCTTGATTTTATGACCCTCCTACTAATCTCTCTCTCTCCCTCCCCACTGTCTCCCTCTTTTTCTGTACTATTTCAGCATGGAGGTGGGGATGGGTAAGAATTAAGAGTTCAGCTCCACTGTGGAAGGGTAACACAGGGCTAAACACATTGAAGAGCTGAACACATTGTTTTGGCCTGTTTGGAATTTGTTATGCATAACTTTTGAGGACATTTTGTCTAATTGCTCATTTGTTTCCCCTGTGGAAACACTATCTGATATCTATGTCTATACATCCCTATCTACTTTGCCTTCCAAAATTAGAATGAATTATTTCTTCCCTTCTCGCCATTCTCCAGAACTTAAAAAGAATGCTTTGGACAATCTGGTACTTTCTTAGCCCTCCCTTATTCTTTTTAAAAGAATAATTGTTTCAGGGCAAATGAAGAAATGCATTCCCTTTCAGACCCACTAGTTACTTCTGACCTCTACAACAAGCCTGAGTGTATACCACAGGAGGGCTGCATCTCCTCCCTGTCACATGGCACTGGGCCTCTCCCTATAGTCACAGGTTGACACGCATTCAGAGACTGCTGAGAGATCAGGATAGGAGCCAGCTGGAGCGAAATGTTATAGCTCAGAACAGTTTAATCCAAACACAAGGGTAGTGCTTGTGCCTAACACAACTGTGGCAGGGGTGGGGTGTGGTGTGTGGAGTGGTGGCAGCTTTTACAGCTTTATCATGGGGTTCATGGGCTGGAGGAGATGTGACCTCTTCCTTGTCTTTTACCCCTTGTCTTGACCTGACAGCCTGACACATGTAGTTTTGGGTAGACCCTGGTTGGTGATGAGTCATTTGTGGCTTAAAAATAGCACTCTCAAAGCAACAATGCCCTTGGGACTTTTTGATGCATGTGTCTTTGTTCATAGAATTTGGGAGAAGAGAGAGAGAGAAAGAGTGTGTGTGTGTGTGTGTGTGTGTGTGTGTGTGTGTGTGTGTGTAGGAAACAATCATGTCCTGCCTAAAAATTAAGTGGAGAAGCAGAGCATGGGGGATTGGCCACCAGGCTCATCACAGTAGCAGAGATGAGACTGAGAGCTGTCTGTGTACCTGTGGCCTTAAAGGTACCAATCAGATAATAGTTCTCCACTGAGTATAAACTGTGTATAAGGCATTTTGCTAGGTACTGGGGAATTTTGAGTACTTATGTATAATGCTATATCTTTTAAATTATACATATTTTTAAAAGGGGCAGGAAGTCCAGCCATATACACAGGAAAACTAAGATAGCAAAACAGGAACGAGTAAGGCATCACTAAGCAATACATCAATGACTAATACGAGCATTGCACACAGTAAGTACTGAAGGTTGAGGGGTTGAAAAGATAGCTGGATGCTATAACATGTTTTGGCTCTAGGGGAGATTTTGAGTTGAATAGACAGAAAACTCAGTCTGCCCCCAACTCTAGGAGTCCACAGGAGGAGACTCTCATTATGGCCTGTACTCGGGCTTTGTGATTTTTGGTGTACGCTAAGTCAAGCAAAACCTTGCCTTAAAATCAGCCACTGAGATTAGGGATTGAGAATGCTTCAGGGATGGCATAAAATAATCAAAGAAGCAGACTCTATCCAGTGGCAGTAATACCGGTTGTCCAATGGTAGATGATTAAAACTCTCGGAAATTTTTATTTGGAAATTTCCAGAAGTGTCTGAATGGCATCCACTCCATCTTTTTGAAACTGAGGTCAGTGTGCAATGTGCTTTACAGGGGCCTTGTTACGAACTTGCCACATACAGAGCATCACAGGGGTATGATGGGGAGGAGAGTCGGCAGTAAGATGAGCTTGTGCTACTCGCAAACAGGCCGCAGCGTGGACATGGATGTTGGTCTGAAGACCAGCATTTGCCTCCAGCTCCATGCTGTGATTTCCATGGGCTCTAGGCATGTTGGCCTTATTGAGCCAATTCTTCCGTAAGAATATTAAATATTATATTTTGCAGCGGCATTGATATAAGAATGAATATAATCCAGGCTGGATTTATTATTGTTGTTATTATTTTTAGAGACACGGTCTCACTCTGTCACCTAGGCTGAAATGTACTGACATGATCATAGCTCACTGTAACCTTGACTTCTTTGGCTCAAGTAATCCTTCAGTCTCAGCCTCCTGAGTAGTTGGGATTACAGGAATGCACCACCATGGCTGGCTAATTTGTTTTTTGGTTTTTTTTTTTGAGACAGGGTCTCACTCTTGCCCAGACTGGAGTGCAGTGGCGTAATCATGGCTCACAACAACCTCTGCCTCCAGGGCTCAAGTAATCTTCTTGCTTCAGCTTTCAGAGTAGCTGGGACTACAGGTGGGCACCATCATGCCCAGCTAATTAAAAAAAAATTATTGTAGAGATGGGGTCTCACTCTGTTGCCCAGACTGATTTCAAGCTCCTGTGCTCAAGTAATCCTCCCACCTCAGCCTCCCAAAGTGTTGGGATTGCAGGCATAAGCCACTGTGCCCAGCCTGGGTTCATTATTATTATTTGTCATTTATGATTATTATATTTATTTTTTTCTGATTTTAAAGAAGTTAAAATTTAGACTTTTTTGTATCCCATAAGTACAGTGGCCTCAGGCACTGTGCCCACACTCCCTGCTGGAGAAATTGACTCTATTTCTCCCTTTCTGACAGCTCGATCTTTCTGGAAATTTTCACAGATAAGAAAACGTACTCAGAGACAGACGCCTTATACTACACCCCTTCAATGTGGTCTAATTGTTTCGAATGAGAAAATAAAAATACGCATTTTATTTTAAGCCCTGTCTGATAACTTGGCTTTGGGAAATATGAACTTTGGCAACCCAGCATTCAAAACAATGCATACAACAAAAAATTTAAGACAACTTAATAATCTTGCTTCTCTCCCACGTTTTGGAAAACCATGTGCCTTTTTCATTCTTTTATCTGACAGTGAGTCTTACTGGTTTAAGAGATCTGTTCGCTGAGAGCGCGACAGTACAAAATAACATTTTCTTCATCAGAAGTTTGTAAATTCAGCTGGACAGGGAAGGGCAGACGTTGGAAATGAGTGAGGCGGATCTGGTGAGGACCGCGATGAGAGCTGAAGCCTCACCTAAAGGGGCTTCCCAGGTCCAGCTGATTGTTCCTATGAAGAAATGCACGCTCTTGTGGCCAGATCTTCCTGTGTTTCAAAGAGGAGAGAGAATACTGGATTTTATGTTGAATCTCCAATTTTAAAATATTGGCCTCAAATCCAAAACTCTTAAAGTACTTGCAGTCCAAGCAAAACACCTCTGCAGGCCCGATTTGGGCCTCCTGTTTTCAGCCTCTATTCTAAACTGTCTGTCTTTCTGGTCTTGAATTGGCTGTGCTCCCTGAGTGCCAGGAAGCGTTCTTAACCCTTGCTCCTCCATCTCCCAGAAAGGACCCCTTCTCTCTCTAAGATGGGAAGCCTTTGGTCTCAGGGTGCCCCGGGTTTTTTGCCATCTAACACATTTTCAAACACTGCTTAGTTAAATTTCCACTTTTCTCGAGGCAAATACTGTATGCCACACCAATAAATCATCCACAACTTACTGTAAGCCCCAGAGCTACATATCACTAGCTCTACATCATCTCTGAAAATAACGTCGTTAGAACCTCATAAACATACACTCTGTTTGTTTAAGAACTGCAAGAGCTTTTAAAACACGGTTGCTAAGTCACAGGGCGTATTTTCCAGGACATAAATGGAAGTGAACATATGCCCCTTAAATTGTCAGATTCTTTTTTTTATAAGAAGAGAGGCCCAAATCTGTCTGTTCTGCCAGGATATTAACTTGACCAAAGAAGAGTTGATTATACTAAGTGTATAAGTGTTAGTAATTATTGGAAACTATCCTCTGACTCACTTAGCTAAATGGGCACATTATAAGAAACTTGATTTAGTTTCTAGCATATGTGGGTATAAGATACAGGTTGACATGGATAAATCCTGGCTTTAGTTTTCACGAACCCTAAAGTTCAAAATTTGCTGAGCATTGTATTTAATATTTACTGATGAAATTCTTACGGTACGGTCCCTTCCAAAACAAAATCGGAGGCATACCTAGACTGTTTCCCCGAGACATGGTCCCAAGTCTAGGCTACAACTTCATCACTGTCCTTACCCTTTTTCATGCCTTACCCTTTTAAATGGCAGTTAGTGATAGGTAGCATCTGAGCCTACAGCTCAGATATTTTCAAAGTAGGAAACAGATGGCCCCATTAATATCAACTGCCGTTTCAGTAGAGCTGCCTCATCAGTCTGTTTTCCTCATGGAAGATACTCACACCACCTTTCACCTGTCAGGGCACTCTCAGGAAGAAACTGTAGGTAGGGCTCCAGGACCTCCGCTGTTGGAATCTACTGAAGGCAGTTGTCTTTAACAAGGATACCTATTTCATGTTGCTAATCACACCCGTACAGAGACCTGCCATCTTGTAATTTGAGAACTGGCATTTCCACACACCCCCTACCCTCACTCCATGCCAGAAAATGCAGAAAATGAACCCATGGCCCAGTCTGAGATACAATTGATCTTGAGGCCCTAGAGAGAACTGCAGGGACAGTGTACAGAGGTGAAAATAACATGGATGCTATTAGATGACTCTACCTAGCATGTGCTTTTCCTCTAGCAGCAGGAGGAAGTGGCAGAGGAGTGTATTAAGGAGTTCGCCCTCTTCATAATAGCATGAATAGAAATAATAAGGCAAGGCTTCTAAAGAGCAGCGTTAATAATTGAAACGTGCTCCAGGCAGCCATGTGGTCTTCCAGTGCCTTTGAGCACAATCTGTTACCAGGTACAAGGTGAGGCTGAGGAGTAGACGAGGAGGGTGCATTTGGCGGCTGTGTTTCTGTGTGCACGCATGTGCTTATGCTTGGAGTAAGCATGAATGAGTAAGATTTGGCAGCTACACCAAGTAAAATTATAGAAAGCAATGTATGTATATTACCATGTAGACTGGTGCTGGTTCTTTTATAGGTCAAACACCCATTTGGGAATTGGATGAAAGCTACAAAAATTTTGCCTACCAAGTACCCGAAAGTTGGTCCATAAAACCCAAACTAAGGATTTCTGTTCTTTTAAGATGGATTCATCTGCTCATTCATTGCTGTTTCTTCTGCCATGAAGATCACGTGACTGACAGAGGGCCATCTTCAAACCCGAAGGTTAAGCCGAGGTCGACTGGGAACTTTTCCCCTCATGACATATAAAACATGTCTAGGTGAACGTCTCTGCAGTGTTTTCCCTTCTTGATCAAGCGTCCCTTAACCTGCAATGCATTCGAAATCTCAACAATGTCAGGTGATGCTAAGGAAACTCTGGGAGGGAGGCCCTAGGCTTCCTACCTCTTCCTCCAATACCAGGCCACACTAAAAGGGGTAGGTAAGACAAGATGTGTCTATTAGGCCAAGCCTAATAGCTCTTTGATTTGCTTCTCTTATGTATTGTGGGTTAGCACTTGTTTGTAGAGGGCAAATTCCTCCTTAGGCAGTGATTCCAGAATGCGAACAATCTCCAGCCAAAATCATTCCACCCGAGACCCACTGCTGTTGCACC